ACTTTTTGTGTAACCTTAACAGAAATGCAGAGGAACAACTAATGTTTGAGGAAAAGCTACATCTATTCACACTTCTGAATTTGGTTAAATAAACGCAAAAAAATCCTTCTTAAACCCACACTGACCCAATACAATAGTTAACTGATTTACAGTATTCAGTCACAGAAAAATCATGGTTTTAAAGTATTGCTTAATTCAGGGGTATTAATTTAGCCAACAAAGCCCTGCATTTCAGGGCATGGGTTTGTACAATTGTGAATCTCTTCTTAAAAATAAAAAGTATATTTTTAAAAAGGTGTTCCAGAGAAGCTTAGTGAAACCAATTCTTAAGATGTATGACTGAAACCCTGACAAAGCAAAAATCTAACATCTTACAACTATAATTTGTTTTGACAGTCAGTGAAATCTTGCTTTTTTTTTTTTAGGTAACACTGGGAGGGGGGGAAAAGCAGTCAATTGCAAGTGGAGTACATTCCAGTGAAAATAATCTACTTTGTATTTGCATACAGTGTTCTAGTTTCTTTTTACCCAGAAGGATTCACACTGAAAACAAAGAAAAAGTTTTCCTGTTATAAAAATACAGATAAATATTACTGCTACCCAAAAATATGCTGCAGTCTGAAAGAAAATTGCACCACAGTACCAAATGTAAAATATGGCTACCATTGTCTTCAAATGCAGCCTGCAATTACAGCATGTTAACATTCTGTATCATTCTCTAAGTATTGGAACTTTTACTCACTCTTTAAAACAGCAGAGATCCAAACATGGCTTGTAAGCAAGAGGATGAGGAAGGATCTCCCCCTTTAATTTGCCATTTCTGCAGAGGGAGATTTTTAAATAACAAGTTACATTGTTCTTTCTTCCCCCAGTTACCCCTAACTGCCAGTACCTCTGCCAAACTGCCAAGCATCCGGCCAGAAGTCGATACTAACAGTGGCAAGTAACAGTATCTGAGCATAAGACACTCCCACCATGTTAAACACAAAACGACTGAATTAAAACATGTCACAACTCCTTACTGTATTCTATTACCTCCTAACGTTTGGCTGCAGGTACAGACCTTTCACTCTGGGGATTTTCAGGACACAAGCGAATTCATTTTAAAATAACATTAGAAGACAAAGGAGTACACCACAAAAAGAACTCCATATCAAGCTATGCAGCATGCACAGGATTTTATATGAAGGCAGCGAAGCTGTAGATGCCCCATACCCTGGAAGTGTTCAAGGCCAGGTGGGATGGGGCCCTGAGCAACCTGGTCCAGTGGCAGGGGTCCCTCCCCCTGGCAGAGGGGGTGGAACTAGATGATCTTTAAGGTCCCTTCCAACCCAAACCATTCCATGATTTTTATGACAGCTGATACCTTTTCCTGCCCATTACCATTTCTGGTTGAGACCTTTTTGCTACATTTTTCAGATAAAGAGCTGTCAATTTTCTACATCTATCGCTACACAAAACCTTTAGTAAATACATGAAAAGGTAAGTTATAGATGAAATGCATTTTAACAGTTTGATTTTCCTCCAGTATCACCCTCTCTTGAGTGACCAGCTGTCAGCAGGCACACAACTTCCATCTGAAAACAGCTTCAGAGTTTGGCTCCTGAAGTTTAATTCAGATCATGTAACTCAGTGCAATGCTATCTGCCTCCATGGGCAGATTCACCGACTCCATGCTACACATTTTAACACCTTACCCTTTTCAAAAGCCAAAACAGAAGCAGTTTTCTACACTATTCAAATGAAAACCTGAAGCTGTATTTATACACAAATATATACAATAGACATTTTTATTGTAAAGTGAGAGTGCTGCACTACCCAGAGCCACAGCAGCGCTACCACCAAACACTTGTTTCTGCTCTGACACTCATTAAACACTGGGTTATTAACAGGCAGCGATCTTGCCTCCAGAACCCGCCACCCTCTTTTCACCCCACTAAATACTACGAACATCAGGGCTGTCAATGACTTTAGGAGACACGCGTGAAAGCAAACCAAACAGCTGCCTCGCTGCCTCCCAAAGGCGGCATACCTCTCCCGAACCCGAGTTACAGCCTGCCTCGGCCGTGTGGAACACCGAGCGCGGACGGCGAGCCGCGGCTTACCTTCTCGGCGATGCTGTACAGGACTTCGTCCATCTTCATGCACGTGGGGTCCCAGTCGTGCCCGAAGCGTATCACCACGACTCTGTCCTCCTCCGACAGGATGGCCTGGTCCACCTGCCACCCATTGTGCAAGTGCGGCAGCATATACGACATCCTGGCGGTAACGGACGCCAGCAACGCCGGGGAGCTGACGGCAAGCCCCGGCCTGTCTGCCCAGGGCGAACACAGCCCCCCGTGGCGACCGC